TACTACTACTACTACTACTACTACTACTACTACTACTACTACTACTAACCAGAAGCACTTCTAAGCACAACTAAGCACTGCTAAGCACAACTAAGCACTAGTAGGCACTAGTAACCACTACTAACCTACCTACCTACCGACCGACCGACCAACCTACTGAGTACTACTAGTGCTAGTACCCCGAGTACTACTACGTTGACGATGACGACGATGACGATGACGATAACTACTATCACTATGGTTTCTGTTGGTTCAGGTGCTCCAGTGCAAGGCCTCTCTGTGGCATATGTTGTTGCCAGACATTGCGAAGTACCTATGATCTTTGCCCGTCACTTGGCATCAATGTTTCCAGGAAGGGCTGATATGGCTAGCTTGCTAGCACCTTTGCATTCTGGGCCGCGTGATTCCAAACAAGATTCTACAAGGTACTGGTGTCCCCCTCACCATGAAAGGCCAGAGAATTCTGAGTGCGCAGGCCAGGCTCCAAAACAGCTTGTTGCTTTTGACCTGGTGTTTCAAGGTGCTTGAAGCTGGCTTCAAAAAAGCCAGACGTGGTGTTTTGTTTGCAAGCCTTAAACAGGCACCCACTGGGACTTTTAACGTCTCGGCGGAGTTCTTTGGTCCTTCGGATCGGGTTCTGATCGTCGATGACTTCTTGGCCTCTGGGCAAACTGCCAAAGCCTTGCAGCAGATCTGCCACCCGACCAGACATGGAAGTTGGCTGGTTTCGATGTTGACCTGCAAATTGAATGCTTCAATTTTCCCCCCCCTCGGACTTGCCCCATCTCAGACTTAGCTCAGATTAGGAGTCCCCACGTTCCGTGCCAGACACATTATATGGCAGCTGGCATGTTCTTGGAGTTTGCCGCACTGGCTTGACTCAGGCACTGAAGCGGGTGTGCAGATTGCCGGCTTCGCCTTTTTAGCCCTGAACAAAACGCAGTTGGTGGGGCAGAGAAGTGTGAGCAATGGCAATGGAGCAACAGGATCGGCAGCTTTCAGTATACCGCGATCACGGCGCAGAACCCAACATAATTGACATTGCCAATCAAGAATATTTACAACATAACATAATAACATAACTTGCTTGGAAGCTTGCTCATCAATGTGGAATTCATGAACGGCGGACATAGAGTTGCGGTCTTGTCAAAGGGGAAAAGATTTGTTGCTTCTGGCTTTGCAGGAAAAGAAGCCCTTGGATTTGGCAAGGCCTAAAGACCATTTCGCAGGGTTTTCTTTGGTTCCAGCAAGGCATTTTGACAAGACACATATTGTGCCTGTGGGAACCTACCCATGTTGTCATACTTTGTTTCAGGTCATTTCTTGTTGGATCCTGCTCGTGAACAATCGTCCAGGTCGTGGTGCTTGCAGAGGTCTTTGGCGGCATTAAGCAAGGGCGCTGTGATGTCAAAGTGGCGGATTGGCTCCAGAGGATGTCCTGAGACCCGAGCATCGGCTCTGAGCCCATGCAAGTGCCCAGCATTGCAAATGCTGCTACGGAAGATAGGTTGCCGCAACAAGGTTATCATGTTGCTTTTGAGGCAAATGGCACTTGTATTTGGTCTCTTTTGCATTCAGGCATTTCATCAGAAGAGGACTTGGCAAGCTTGATGTTTTAACTTCGAGAACTCTAGACTCCTTGCTAGGCTGGTCTCCCAGGCCGACAAATTTTGGAGCTGCTTGGAGCACTTCCACGCGATCGAGGATTTAAACCTTGAGGGTTCCATGTACAATTGTCCTTGCAAACCACAAATCCTCGAGCGTTTCTGCGTGGGTTTCGCGTGAAGCTTTGCCATTGCGGTGGACACTTTGAAGTAGTGCTAAGGGCGTGCAATTTTCAGTTATATAACTTTTGCTGTCCCTCTTTCAGCGAAGGCTGGCTAGGGCAGAAGGAGATATCATATCAGATTTCATTATACTGTTGAACAGCCAATGAGCATATTCAGCATGAATGTGATTAGAATTTAGTATATTTAGCTGTACATCCATGCAGATGGTTTGGTGTGTGGTGCTTTACGCCAGCAGCTGGGATCATACCAGCAGCTTGGACGGCTAATTGCACACCTGGTTGTTTTTGAGCCATTTGTGCATTCCATTGCAAACACTGAGCAAAGACTCCAAACAGCAAGGGCCTTTTGAGATGTAAAATGGCAGAAGAAGCTCCGGTCTGGGTAGACACATGTACAGGTACATATCAATCGAGACGAAACATCGAAGATGACAGAGCATGAAAGAACTTCAAGATATAAAGGAATGAAGCAAGGAGAGGAAAGAAAGAAGGTGAGGGGCCCTTGTTGAAGGGACACTAAGCTTACTACGGTGGAGAGCTCATTGAAGTTTGCACTTCCATGGGCTTCACTACTGCTTACAGCAACAAACGGCAACCGATGCCTTAACACGCTTTCCTCTCCCGAAAAGCGTCCCCCAAAAAGCGGTTTCGCCAGGCTGCCAGCACCGCAGTCACGGAGAGCGATGGTCGAATTTTGGATGGTGTGTCCATCCGTTTTTTTGAGCTTCTTGGAACACACACCAGACACACCAAAGGCTTAAAGGTGATCACATGGATCCTTTGCTTTAACAAGTCCCTGCAGGAAAGACCTTCGCTGTTCCTTTTCACTTCTTTTTTTGAAGACAAGCCTCAGCATCGAGGCGTGCCGCCGGCACTTTTGATGTGCCGCTGGATTTGAGCGAGGCAGCATTTGGTGGAGATGGTGGGGGTGAATGCAGTTTCAAGGCCAACCTGGTAACTGTACCCTTCTAGTGTAAGGCATGAACAACCGGGAGATTTATGCTGATTGTGTAGCTAGTAACAGTGGGTGGTGGTGTTGGTCATGGTGGCGGTGATGATGGTAGTGGTCGTCGTAGTCGTAGTCACAGTGGCAGTGGCAGTGGCAGTGGCAGTAGGAGTAGGAGTAGTAGTAGTAGTAGTAGTAGTAGTAGTAGTAGTTGTAGTAGTTGTAGTCGTAGTCGTAGTGGTAGTGGTAGTGGTAGTCGTAGTCGTAGTCGTAGTAGTAGTAGTCGTCGTCGTCGTGGTAGTAGTAGTAGTAGTAGTAGCAGTAGTAGTAGTAGCAGTAGGTGTACGTGTAGGCTCATTCCGCGGGATCAAAGAAGGAGCACCACCTTGCAGACTTGCGAAGTGTCAGAGTCGGATAGGCGCACCAGCTGCGAATTCGCGCCGATGATCTTTTATGCTCCTTGGGTGTTGCAATCAGTTGAGAGTATTTGCCGAACACATCCCTTTGGCACACTGGATCTAGTGCAGTAAATGTCCCTTTTGAGGTTTGCGCTGGCCGCTGGATGGGAGTGATAGAAGCCGCGAGCAGTTGATAGAGGCCGGCAGAGCCTGCCTAGTCCAGGATTTCCATGTTATATAAGCTTCCTAAAAATCTAGTCACCAAATCATTAGTGTGAGCGCTTCCTTGAAGAAGCGTGAGCTATCCTGCGTCCTAGCTAGGAGCTTCCTATTGCTAGTAGCTTACTCCCCGGAGCAGGGGCACGGGCAAAACAATGAAAAAGGAAAGGAAGACAAAGAAAGGAAAGCTCGCTCGCCAGGAGGCTTTCCGTGCACTGGGTGGACAAGAACGTTTGGGATGTGTCGAACTTCGGAAACTGGCCAAGTTCACAGGCGAGAAGGTTTTGGTATGCCAGGCATTAGCCAGGCATATACTGCATTAGAGACTTGCGACGCCGTTGAAATCATTCGCAAGGTTTCATAGTTTTTGCCAACTGGTTTGTTTGTAGAGGTTTGTGTGCTGTCACATTGTGTTGACAAAGCCACCCTTCTTGGGCGTGCAAGCTACAGTTGTCTTTCAACAAGTTGATGGGTAATGGCAACATAAAGAATGCATTTGATTTGCTATGCTGTGCTCAGGTCTCCGATTTGAGTGCAATGTGTGTTGTTGCGAGCAGATGTCCAATTATTTTGCCTACAGGCTGTATTCATCTTGGACCAACCAGCATCTGTCAAATTGCACCGGTGGACCGACATTCGACTCGAGCTTGACTGGAATGTGTATAATTGAGTGTGCAATTGCAAGACATCCATATAAAATAGAAATATATTGGACCAAATGGATCTTTTGTATCTTTGTATTGGTACTTATGTACTACTTATTGGCTCTAAGTATAACCCCGAGTGGTACGCCCAGGGCCCACGTCGAGACGAGCATGTCATGCAAATACTGGCAAATGGGCACGTGGTGCCCGCTCATATTATGGCCCTAAGTTTGCATCCAGGATGCACAACAAACTTCCGCCAGGCTTGAGGAACATATGTTGTAGAGGTGGACCCTCATGTAGATCTCAGCACAGAGTTGATCTGCACAGGCTTTGATGGCAGCGATGAAGACTGGAGTTTGCAAGGGCCTGAGACCGCCTCAGTTGGCATTTCTGAGTCAAGCTAACCAACATGAGCTATGCCTGCCGCTATGCTGATAAGTTAGGACCGATGGATGGATAATTTGTGTTAAAACTCATTTGCTTGCCACGTTTCTCCGTCTATCACAATGCGAATACTGTAGATCGACTGATCCCAGCTGTAGAGTCGAGGAGGTATGTTTTTTTTTTGCAAGGTTTCATTGCTCTCGCCTTGGCAGTCAGGGAGTTTGCATCGCTTTGCCGTGACTTTGGTGCTGACGAGGCACAAGAAAGATATGGAACTTTCTTGCCTGCCTTCAAAAAGTATGCACCTCAAATAGACTAACTCGTTTGTCATGGCTCCATTTGCCTCATTTGGGGTAAAATAGTGAGGCTGCAAGCAAATCATAACATGGAAGCCTGAAGTGTCAGAATTGTCAGCTTCTTCGAGGAAGGCCTTGGCTTAGACGCATTTGCCCGCTTGGTGGACGAGCGCTCTGAGCAGGCAAACGTACACAGTCCGCCCGGTGAAGAGTGTCCAGTGTGTTCAGTCCATGAGAAGGTCCATCATGCTCAAAGCGCTACGAAATGAGACATCCTAAGACCTACAGTAACGCAGATATTCCCCAGTATGGCCAGACCGCCATCTAAGCCCTTGAGGTGTTTAGCCTCAAACATCCCGAATAGCCCTCAACAAATGGGAATGCAAAACCGCACGTTAGACAAAGCTCACCCAGCTCTAAGCACGACAAAATCATAGAAAATCACTATGCGGACTGGATCAGAGAATTGTCGCTCCCGCTACCTTGCGCTGTGCAGGGCTGCTATTGCTCTGACACTGAGTTGCAAGAGCTTTCCCAGCTCTACAGTGTGCACCCAGGCAGATCTGACTCTCAGGTTCAGGCCACCTGACTCTTCTTTGTTTGAATCCCGAGCACATAGAACCTTTTGTACCAAACCATGTAGGTACACAATGGTACACGCAAGGAATCTGAGCAATCTGAAGGTTCCTGCCCTCCTTCAATTCTTCGAGTCAGGCCTGCGAGAGACTTGGGTTGCTCATGCATTGGTGGAGTCGGCTGAGAAATTTGGTGACATCCTTCAGGCCCGAGCTGCGTGTTTATCCATTTGTGGTGTCTTAGCTTTTTGAGAGTTCATTGCGTGAACATGCTGTGACTTGCTCCTAGATATGTCAGCTATTCCTTGGATATGAAACGTGGTTAACCTGGCGCCTGTTGCCAGCTCAGGTGAAGTTTCAGATATGTGAGGCCCGGTTTGTATCGTTCCATCTAGAATTTAGTTTGTTTCTAGAAGAACGGAGAGGAGACGTAGGTAGTTGGCTTGTGAGGTTTTAAGTCTGTTGTGTTGTATCATTTCTCATGTTGTGTTTGATTCTTTAAACACTACTGAGATAGTTTTGCAGACGGAAGTCCACTGAGCCACGAGTTCTTTGATCCGTAAAGCATTTGAAGATATTTGAATTACATAGATATCTAGACTGAAAACATATTTGTATAAAATCAACAACAGCCTCACGGGTCTTGGAGTGGAAAGCGGCAATGGTCAAGTTGCTGCGCTCTTGTGCGGGAGGTGCCTGGCTTGGAGCTTCATTTTCCACGAGCTCTTTGCTCCACCGAGCCGGTGCCAGGCGTGAATTTGATGGTTGGGCAAGGACTAGGTGGAGGCCATCGCTACTAGGAACAAGACTACTAGTAGCTCCTGGCCTTACTACTAGTAGCAAGAAGCTACTAGGTGGAGGCCATTGCTATGAGGTTTATGAGGGACCTGGTCATCAAGACAAGCGGGATAATTGACCTACGCAGGATGTGGTCAGTAAAGTACATCTCAGAACTGATGGTACTGATGCTTCTTTCTACCTTGCCTTTGTGAGGGAAGAAGGATCTTGATGGGAAACACCCTGCTGGTGTAGATCCAATTACTGCTGTGCTACGTGAAGCGAAGTCGATTGCTGCAAAGTCTGTGCAAGCATTTTGAAGCACGCCAGCTGCTTGGCTCACAAGCCCGCCACACAATATTTGTATAGAGCATACCGCATTGCTTGAAGAACCATGTGAACAACAGATTAACAAATCTTCATTGCATGCAAAGACACCACTTCTCTACAGATGAGCGGTCTAGAGGCAAGCAAGGTCTCACTGCCAAGGCATGTTTTTGATAGTATTGATCCATTGCTCCGAAGACACATCAGTCCAGCCAACATCACAGCACTTAGAGATGCTAATCGTGGTGTGACTAGTTTAGTTGGACTTGAAAGGTAGTCTCATCGATAACTCTCTCTCTCTACACATATATATATATATATACGAACTATAATGAATCGTAATCAGACGTCACAGCTGACCGCTGTGGGGCGAGCTCCTTTGCCGATCCATGGCCCGGCCCGTGACTCAGTTTGCTGATCGTGGCGATGCCCACTCTCTGGATCCACCCTCTATGCCCTTTGGAAGCCACTAGGAACAAAGGGCATCGCTACTGGGAGCAAGGACGCTACTAGAAACAAAGGGCATAATTGTGGGCCTTTCATTCGCGCTGTATTTTTGTCCGTTTTCTTGGTCAAAACACCAAGCAAGAGACCAAGCCATCGCCCAAGGCCAAGCTGGCAGTGGGGGCTGACGGTTCTGGCACCGGTCTTGGCCGCTGGTGCGACGCCGACATTTGATGTGGACTTGACTAGCCTCACGAAGCCACCATTATGGGAGCCCACCTTCGAGGTGCCCAGAGCTTTTGCCGTGTGAGCTATGCCATGCTTTTCTTTGCAAGCTTAGACAATCAGTTGTCTTGATTGCCTAAAGTGAAAGTCCTTTTACATGGCCTGGTATATTACATGACATTACTCCTTACACAGCCAACACACTTTACACACGAAGCCCTTTGGTATTCAAGAGACCGACCTTACCAAGCGGGTCTGGTGCAGGAGTATTTCCCAGGGCGAGAGAAGAATGAGATGGGCCTTGGTTCACCAGTCGTGTTGACCAGCCCAACACGGGAGGAACTGTTGCGGCGCTGTAGATCGTGTGAGGAATGGACAACTCCATGAGTGGATTGGTATTTTTACAAGTTTCAACTCAAAAGTACAAGTTTTTTTCATGCGTCTTTCCACAAAAAGCACGGGAAATTGCTGACATTGGATAACTTGCTTGATTCAAGTTTTGGAGAGTTTCATGGAATTCCTTTTGGGTGCGCAAAAGTGCAGCTGCTCTCCTTGCAGAACTTCACAGGAGTTTCTTTTTCATGCTCGCCGTGGCTATCCCATTGTCGTCGCTGACTGGGCAGAAAACATGACATATACTGGCTGGAGTTGCAAGGACTTCGCCGAAGCTTTTCCCTTCGGCTACATGAAGGCAAGCTGCTGAAACTCAACACCAGTAATCCACTGTACTTGGGTACTTGGAGGCCGGATTTTTCCCGAAGCAAGTTGGAGCTGCAAAAGAGCTGAAACTTCATGCTCTTACAAGCCTGTATCCACCAGCACAAGTGGAGACAAAGAAGGAAACGAAGAGGTTTTCTAGTCTTAGATGTCCTCCTCCATTGTTTGCCTTGGTATTTGCCGGACAAAATGCCACAACACAACATTCAGATCAAGCTCACCCGAGCCAAAGGTACACCACAGATCGTGTGTGCCTCCGAACAATCACGCTCAACTCTCGCGCTAACGGTCCGGGTGGATTTCTAGGAGTCCTTCAGATTTGGGATCCATGTCCTGCCCAAAGCAGCGATTAACTTTCCCTCCCATCTTTCTTCGCAGACCCAATTAGCGAGATTCTTGTCGTTGTCAATGTTCCCCAGTCCTTTCATCCTTTATGAAGCAGGCAGAATATATTGATTCACTGCCTGGCTTCAACAAGAAGCAGCACGACACCAAAGTCATTGACGGTGAGCTGCGCTTCAAGCTTGGCTCTTTCAAGCCTGATGGGATGCTCAATCACAAACATGTGCACAAATTATGACAGGCCTCGCAAGGACAATCCTACCCTAGGGTCGTACCTACCACTAGCTGACACAGATTCAGCAAAAGCATCTAAGAACCTTAGTTAGTTGACACAGATTTTGGAGGTGCCTGAACATGTTGTGATTTCCTTTCGTTTCTCTCACTGAGGAAGACCTGGTGGTACAACTTCTCTCGTCCAGCATCAAAAAGATACAAGGATGACCCCTTGAAGCCGAAGCAAGGGCCTTACGTGTGGCATGTGAAGGATGAGCTTAGTCCCAAGGAGAAGAAGCAGGCGCCCACACAGCAGTCTTGAGCAGAGCTTGTTCTTTGTTCGATTGACCTTTTTTGATTTGGTCTGTACAAGTAGCTTTTCTTTGGTTTGTAGTTTCAGCTTTGGCCAGGTGCAGCAGCGGTTTGAGGTGCCTGGATTCCTACAGGATCCTCTCAACAAGGCTTGAGATTTGGATTATCCTAATCTCAGGCTTTGCAGTTCATACCTACGATGAGGTCTTTATTATGAGACACTACTGAGATACGATGTCGTTTTTGCTCAGTGTGAGTCGTACTTGATGGAGCTTAGGGGTTCAATATTTCTTTAAAGGATTCCTCATCAAAGAGAGTTTCTGCCTACAACGCTCAAAGGCCAAGATGAACCGGAGCTTTGAAGTTTGGTTCTCTCCTGGTGCCTACTCTGGAGCAGGTGCAGATAGGACTTTCCAAATAACAGAAGACAAGCTTGCTCTTTGATGAAGTACAAGCAAAGGCAAATCTTGTTGCATGCTAGAAGCATATAATTGGCAAGCGAGAAAGCCTGCTAGAGAGGTACGTACCATGTACAAACACATCACAGTGGGCGGGGCAGGTGCACACAACGATGGCTACTGTGAGTCGGTGGTCTCTCTACAGCTTCGGGGAGACAAGCGCTGGCGGAGTCTTGGTCTAACGATGGTTTAGGCATTCTTTGCAAAAGACAGGTATGTAGAATCTAGTCAGTGAATGGAGATTGCATTTTCTTCAGGAAGATGATGCTGCCCAAGATGTCGTTTCTCGATTCCTTTGATGAGTTTGACGGTGGTGTTTATGAGGCAGGATGCGACTGATGTGACGACACTAGAGACTTATTCCAGCATGTGCAGCGTCCGCACGCGACCTGCGGATACCTGCGGTCTCCCAGCTTTGGCTAGAGTGAGGCCAAGAAGTGGGATCCGGATCTCGGCTTCTTGAACAGCGCTAAGGGTGCTGTGATTTGGCCACCCGGATATTTGCACGAGACCTCGACCTTGCCGCCGCCGGAGACCTGGACGAAAAGAACGAGAGGAAACATCAAAGGGTGGGGCCTTGTGAAAGGGGCCTTACCCTCCTTTTTCCATCTCTTTTTTGAACTGGTTTGCCAACAGCTTGGCATCCCTTAGCCGGCATCCCTTCTTTTGGACACTGAGAATTACACGCAGAGAATCAGAGTGGGCTGAAATGATAGGTCATCATAGGATTCCAGTTCCTTTGTGCGGCAATGCAAGAGAACGGGTGCTGTATCGACTGGAATAAGAGCCTGGCTGGGTAGGTGAAATAGTTCGAGCTGCTTTGCATTGATTTGCCACACAAGGATGGCCAGTGTGGCTCTGCGCTGACTCTGCAGTACGCTTTTCCTCAGCCAGTGCAATTTTTGCAACTCAGCGGGTTTGCCAAATGTTAACAGTTCGCACCAAGAGTTGCTTCAGGTTGCTTTCATTCGTTGAACAGTTCCTCTTTTCGTTTCCACCGAGGCGGGCTTTCTTGCCACGTCTTTCCATGTCTGCAGAAGTCGGACACTGCGTGGCAATGACCTGGTCGGGGTATGCCACCATGCACGTGCGCGGAGTGGTCCCAACTCCCAAGGAGGCGAGGATGAAGGAACAACTGGAGAAGATACAGACCTTGGTCGACACCAATCAGGACTTGGCCGTGTTCAAGCGAAAGGATTGAAGATGGTGTTTACTCAAACCAAAATTCCTTTTGTATCCGAAGTAGATGTGGTTGCTTGCGATCAAGGATGAAGAGATCACCGTGGATGAGGTGAAGACCTGGTTTGAAAAAAGTGAGTCCTCAGCTCTACGTAGTCTTCCAGATCCCGAGTTCTTGCAGCACAAGGACACGACAAGATGAAGCGGGTCAAACTTTTCAATAGAAAACAACAATGCAAGAAATGTAACAACAATGCAAGACATTCGTTTGTGCCGCCAGCATGAGCACATGTCACACTCCTCCCAAAAATACATGTTGTGCGCCCTAAGCTTCGTTAGTCGTTAGTGTTTGTGAAGCTTGTGGTGTATAAGTGTTTACCGAAGAAGGCCATTTATGCCATTTTCACAAATCTTGGATCAAGCAGGTTCAACATTTTTCCTTGCCCATTTCATGAGAGTTAATGTAGTAATGCCTAAATTGCGCACCGGGCCATTGGAAATAGGGCCTCCTATGACCCCAGCTGAGTGCATCCAGTACCTTGTGATCTCCTACATGGCTGAAGACACGGTGGCGTACCATGACATGAATGATGACATGAAGGTCTCCAAGCAGGAGCTGTGTAGAGTGCTACGCAGTGCTACGCCTTTGCAGAGTGAGAACTCGTGCTGAAACAACATCCGTTGCCGGGGAGGCTCTAGTAATCGAGTCATGGTTCAGTCAAGTAAATACTGTAAGTCTTTTGATTCAGTGCGAGGAGCTTTGGGACTCGCTCGTGCAGTGGAACGTCGTGCGGGTGCGACTTTATTTCTTGTTTTCCCTGAGCATTGCAGACGAGACGTTTGACCTAGTACGCTGGTCACATGATGAGTCATATGCGTATTTTGGCACTGAAGCATTATTGGGTTCAAAACACAAATTTGCTGGGTCCACCAAAACTTCAGACGGACCTTTCGCGACTGCTGCTCCAGTCTCTTGTAGGTCCCTGTTTTATCCCAACATTTCCATCTCCAGGTCCGAATGCAGGAGGGTCTCAAGCTGTTGAATCGCGCAGACCGAGCAGGGCTCGAGGTGCAGATCACCCCACTAAGTATGTAGCTCCTTACTATTGCCTTAGTTTTGGATGAACATGAGTTTGTTCCTGTCAAGTGATTGATGACGCATTGTCATTCCATGACATGAGGTTTGCTGGACAGTCTTGGTCCTTCTGACTTGTACAACTGGATCTTGACAGTGCTTGCAGGCATGGGAGCGGTCTCTGGATTACTTGCGGAGGGAGCCCATGGATTTGCCGAAAGATGTCAGGCAGGGTGGCTACGTCCTTATCTATCGACGCCTGTGCTTGTGTCCTTCGCCACACAACCTTGAGCTCGATCCCATGCCCTTTCTTTTGTTGGTAATGTCAAGAACTGTATCAGCTGGACAAAGTGTCTTATCCCGTTTCCTACACATATCCAAGTACAGCCTGGGATTTTAGTGAAAGTCCATAAATGCTGGCTGGATGGTCAGTGATCAGTGATCAGTTCTCAAGCCTTCTCGTTCAGCTCCAGCTCCGCAGGCCAGAGATGCAGGAGCGTGGTGTTTAGCAGCATTCAAGTCTTCACCGTTAAGGAAAACCCGGTGTTTTCGTGTTGTGCAGTTTGTCTTAAGACATTCTCACATCGCCCCATCCCCAACTCACAGGTCGGAGAGTAGGTCCGTTGGCCGCCTCCATGCTCACAGGAGATCTTTGATCTTGGCAAGGTTGGGGGATTCAGCTCGTTTGTTTCTTAAGCGTGCTCTGCTTTAGCTCTAGAATTTGTGATACACCCTCTATCCAAGGAGAGTGCAACGTGACTTTGCTGTTGCAGGTTATTTTCTTGTTCCGTTCGATCAGGGCACCAAGATCTTGAGCTCCTTGAAGGGCGTCCATTCGATCTCTGACTCCGAGTTCTGGAGTCCTGTCCGGGATGCTGTCCAGGAAAGGGCGCGGCGCGCGCCGATCGCGCACCGCGCAGAACTCCCCGCACAGGTTGCAAGTTGTCCGAAATCACTCCTGGAAAATCCGACCGGCCGAGGGTGGGACGGGAGTGTCAGCCGTGAAGCAGCCAGGAGCTGATGATGCGAAAAAGGAGGACACACCGCGAGCTCTGAGGAATCAAATGGAGTGTGAGCTGGAATCTTTAAGGACGCAAGCAAACCTTATATACAACAAAAACTGCAGTTTTGAGTCTTAAGCGGAATTAAGTGTTCTGAAAGTTCAACGTTTGTGCATCGACTGCATATAGCATCAAAGAAGAGTACTCTTGGTGGTCACCCGGTGCACTACGGGAGAACCATTTTACATCCGCCATGGCTCAAGTCACGCAGCTGCGTGAGAATCTGACTGTGATGGTGTTTGGCGTGCCCCTCCTAGACGTGGATAGCAAGTTCCTTATCGCTTGTTGGGACCCCAGATGTGCATCTCACATAGAACTACAGAGTCGATGCTTGCAAAGCAGCTATGAAATATCCCGGCAAGAGACCCCAAACATTGTTTCCGAGGTCTAGAGGTCTAAGGTCTAGAGGAAGATTTTGGGCTCCAGAAAGATCTAGAGATGCAGAGGTCTAGAGGTCAGAGAGAGCTAAAGGTCTAGAAAGATCTAAATGCCTAGAAATTTGGAGAGATCTAGAGGTCTGGCCTTGAGATCCCAAAAGATCAACAGATTTGGAGATCTAGGCCCTAGAGCTCTTGAGATCCAGAGAGGCCTAGAGCTCTTGAGATCCAGAGAGGTCTTGAGATCCAGGTCCAGAGGCCTGGGACTGGGAAGCTAGAGGTTTCAAGGTAGAGATCTATATAGTGTTCGAGAGGTGGAGATCTAGAGGTCTTGAGATCCAGAGAGATCTAGAAGCCTAGAGTTCTAGAGACCTAGAGGTCTGGAGGCCTGGGGGCATAGAGCTCTTGAGGGCATATTTAAAAAAACAAATATGAGGGCACATATCTCAGAGCACGCGTCTGAGAGCACATGTATGAGAGCACATGCATGAAAGCAAACGCACACACACACACACTTATAGAAATGCATACTGATTGGGTTGCGGTTTGCCACACGCCGGCCTAAGTGGAAGACCTAAGGAAACAGGGTTCAGATCTCCACAACTCCAAATTCTCAAACCTCCAAAGCTCTATAGGTTCCAAATTGCAAAACCGCGAAACGATCGATCGACAAAGACGCCGGAACGTGCAAAGTCTGCAGAACGCATTAGCGCTTTACAGCACCTGAGAAACCTGCAAACAGCCTGGGCCAGGGCGGACCACTGGAGTCATTGTGTTCGAAGCAGGTGCGCTGGGATGATCAGTCCCAGTATCACCAGGAAAGCGAGAGTGTCTTCGTTGGTGGCAGACTCTCGTTCCTGCTGCCACCCCCTACTTATACTGGCAATCAAACCTAACAATCCAACAGGAACCTTGTGACTCCAAAGGTTACACACACTTCGAACTTGGGTTTTCAATTAGACTCAATTGCCACGATGGGAAGTAAGGTGAGGGAACGGAAAGGTGCATAGGTCGGCAAAACAGTATGGTTTAAAAATGGTTTCAAAAAGGCCTCGAAGTCGATCTGTACATTCGGTGCGGTGACGAGCGCAGCTGCAGGAAAGTGGGTTTAGGGGAGGAAACGTGAAGGACCATGGAAACAAACCGATCAAAGTGGACAGCTTGTTCAAAAGTTCATTTGGCAGGTACGTGACTCCAGCGTCCCGGAGTCATATCACATCCGATCAGCAGTGTCTTTGTTAGGCAGTGACTGCTGAAAGGACCACTGCCCCCCTGCTTCAGTGGAACAAAGAGGTGGGAACATGGAAAACCCTTAGAACCAGGGTGTGACACACACACACACACACGCCTCCCCGAGGGGAGGCAAAAAGAATTAAGGCGAGGACGGTTGTGAAAGTGCGCGCGCAGTAAAGACGAAAGGATGAAGACATGAGAAGGAGGACGAGACGGGACAAAGGTGTGTGTGGTTGCAATGAAAAGGAAACCAAGTGCACAGGGACAACCGATGAACCCAACCCCATTGTCAAGACCTGGGCGACCCGAAATCTGTGTAAAAAGTGTATGTGGATGTGCACGTCCACACTAAGGCCAGGGCGATGCGTGCGCAAACGAAAGAAGGGATGAGATGGCAAAACGTGAAGACAGGAGGACATAAAAGAGAGGAGGAAAACACATGTGTGCGAAGTGGAAGGATGAAAAGGGAAATGAAATGGACGCAAACCAAAGAACCCGAGCCTCATTAGAAAACCTAGGCAAACCTCGTTGAACATGTACGTGCTGTGTGTGTGTGTCCACTCCTGTTTCCAAGGACACTACACTACACTAGCTCTTACTAACTTTTCTTAGGACTTTCGTGACCATTGTACAGCAGCAGGGGGCACCTGGAGCAGAGATAGGGCAGGTGCCAATGAAGACACCTATCTCTTGCTCGTGAAATCGACGGGAGACGTCCTGTCGACGTACCTGCAAACTTTTAAATTCTCCAATTGTTGTTCAACCATACTGTTGCTCGGACTTTGCACTTTCCTTTAGTCAAGGTCTAACTTGCAGTAATCTTAAAGGGCTAATGCACTCCGCGAAGCAGCCTGAAATCGCGCTCCACGGAGCAACCTTCTCAAGTGTGTCTCTGCAGCTTCTTCCCACTGTGGTAAGCTGTGTGATTCCCTACGGGGCGCCGTTATTGCAAGAACCTTTTCACTCCTCACCGCAGGTGTAAGCTTCTTGAAGTTTTTCTGAATATTTCTCAACTGATTTTCCTGCTCGAAATCAGCTTGGATTGTCTCACCCAGCACACGTGAAGTTTACTGCAGAGTTCACTGAATTTCCTACTGAAATATACTGCAGAGTCAAACTGCATTTGTTTCACCCAGGAATCCTTTCCATTTCAATTTTTCAATTTCAATTTCAATTTCAAGAGTTCAATTAAAGTCAATTGCACACTCCTCCACTTTGCAGCGACATATTATACAGTTTATAGTTTCACTTTTTCAGGTTCATGTTCAAGGACTGCTTTGGTTCACACCTCTACTTACATACATACATCGACCTTATTCGACTTGCCGAACAGCCATGACGTATCCCTGGCCGTATTCACTACCACCACATCTACAGCAGCAACCACAACCCACACAACCACATTGTTTCCCGTACCCATCACATGCTCCACCACAACCATACCCAACACTGCCACCAGTTCCACCACATCAACCAATTCCTCACGGTTATCCATTTACCGCGCCACTTCCACCTCAAGCCCACTACATGCAGCCACATCCAGTACAGGCACATTATCCAGTACACCCTACAGCTCCTCTTGACAGTACCCAACATCCGCAACCGCATCCACTTCACGCAACACAACCAATACAATCCCACGTCCACACACCTCCAACACAGCCACCTCAACCACATCAACCACATCAACCACATGCACCACACACTACAAGCCAATCACCAACCCCACCACTACCACAACCACCACCTCCCTCAACTGATCTACCACAAGCCACCAATCCCGCAGTGACCGCCGCACCACAGCCTGCCACAATGGCTCCACCACCACACACTCCAGCAGCTCCCACTGAACCTGCTTCAGCATCCATCACCACACCAGCTCAGCCTCCACCACCACCCAACGGGCCACGCACAACCAAACCGACACCATCTATTGCACCCACACTCAGCACCACAAGAGGTATTTGGAGAGACCCAGATCGTTCGCCTCCACGTACACCTGAACACCACCGCTACTCAGCTTTTCCTGCCGTTCCCACCATTGCACCATCACAAGCTACATCCAGATCCAGGAGCCGCGCTCGCTCAGTACGCACTCCACGCTCTCCATTGCCACGACGACGAAGCTCGGCTACACGATCAGTGGCCCGCTCACAACCACATTCCACGCCTGCTGACAGGCACACATCACCATCACCAGCCTTAACACAAGACAAAACTCACACTTCCACCAAAGACATCACCGCTGCCACCACTACAAAACACACTCTGGACTCAGCCCACCGTACCTCGGGCATCACACTCAAACCCAACCCACTTTTCACACCCAAGCATACCACCAAAAAGGCACCAACGCCACCGCCCATTGCACCACCAACTATTCCAGTTCAACGACGTCCTCGCAACCTGCCTCCTCCAAAATTCCAACCACCCACTGATCCTGCGCAATTGGATGTCTTCCAATGGATCAACCAGTACGCACAATCGCTTGACGTCCAAAATGAACCCATGATTTCCTACGTGGCCAAAGTGCTTAGCGCAGCCCATCTCAACAGCACCCACTTTACAGACCTGCAACTTCTCACACACACAAAATGGAGCGACGACACCAACAAAGAAGAACGTCACTCATTCCTACTACTCACCATCCCCACACTAGCGAGCAGGGCGATGCCCCAATCCTCCCTCCTACACGGAGAGAAGCTTTGAATATACCACCGATTAAACACATCTTTGCGGCGCATGTTAGCGAAGAGGGAAACATCATTTCCATACTTGAGGCGGGCGAAATTGTGAGATCCGTTTTGCACGACGATCACAACGTAGGTTATTTTTGCCAAGCTTTCGAGCTATCGAACTATGAGCCACATGATGTTGCCGAAGCCGCGCGAGTGTTATTCAACGCTTCAAACATGGCCAAAAACCGCAGGGGCCTCATCTTGACGATTAAAGCCTATGGCCATGGCCACAAAGTAACTCATGGGGGCGAATCCGCTGCGAACGACCTGCTACTTCGAGGTGAAGGGATTGTGAAATATACCCCAGGAAAATGCTGGGTAGCACACCCCAAGCATTCAAGGATAGAAGGGATTGCTTGGAAAAGCGATGCAAAGCCACCACTCAGCTTCATTTAATTCAACCTTTCCAGCCCAAGAGGATCTTTTTCACCCCATATCTCGGATGACGACAAGCCCTCAAAATATCTATGCTGCTCGCTCCTGATTTATTACATTACATTTCAACTTTTTCACTAATCGTTGACAACCTCCATTTATTTTCAAGATGCTGCATCTGCATGACTTTCTGCAGACCACATGACATTAGAGTCACCACGACTATCGACAAGTCCGTTTTTTTTCAGATGTTTCAGATCGTTCTGGCTTTTCAGCTTTTCAGATTTTCACATACACTGACGAGATTCAGCTCGACTTCTTGTATTGTCCCATCACCTTTTCGATATTCTTTTCACTTACTTACTTTGCACCGCAGCCATCTTATATTATTCAAACTATTGAGCACGACCTTTACAACCGTACAAGCCATATTGGTCCTACGACGAGTACCGCGAGGATGACATCTCCTTTGGACACAGCATTTGCGCATCGACTCCTTTTAGCTCACCTTCACGCAGCCACATCTATTACCACCACGTTCCAAAACCTACCACTTTTTAC